GGTGGGGCTTTCCAGGACCTTATGGAGACTTAACAAATTTAAGCTGTGTCTCTAAATGTACGCAAGTTCTGCCCTTTGTGGCTGGAGCTGGAGACTGCCAGGCCCCAGAAGAGCTCTGTAAGCATCCCAGGTAGGCAGATGGGGCTTTGGGTCCTTGAAAGCAAGGGAGGAAAAGGGGGAAAAGCGAACTTTATGATTTCTCCTGTTTCAAGGAAGTCTCAGCAGTGAGGTGTGTAAAGGAGAGGCGATAATGATCTGCAACAGTCTGCGATTTTGGTGTGGTCCTGCATGCACAAGTCAGTGCCAGTGTACAAGGAGCTGCAGAAAAGGAATCTGTCTCCTTTGCTTGCCTGGGTGCACTAAAGCATACCCAGGAAACTGATGTATTTCTGTGGCTCTGTTTATCAAACTTATAGGGGTAATAAATTAAAAGGTAGGTTTTCTTTTACAGATTAGTCTCTCTGGGAAACAGTAACACCCGAGTGAAAGACATTGTTCATGCTGCTGTTAACAGGCCTGGCAACCTGGGTTTCCTGCAAATCATAGAAAATGTGGGTCCTGGAGAACATATGCCCCGAATGTTGGGGGAAACAAGTGATAAATGTATTTTTTATGTAATCAACTGGAGTGGCTTTGCTTTTCTTGTTTTAATAATGTGGAAGTGAAATATGCTTGTGAAGAGGGAAATGCTCAGGGAGGTATGAGAAGATTTAGAAGGTCTCTTTCAGTCAGTACCTGTGCTCCTGCTTCAGTTAGGCACTCCTGGAAGATTTTACAAGTACTGAGTGCAAAAAGCTGTATGTGCACCATCCTGGTTAGCACTGATAATCAGCTGATTTGCATGAATAGTGAATATTCACAGTCAGGTCCATTCACATGGGAACAAGCAAGTAATTTCCATTGGCATTCAGCACTGTTTATTTGAGCCTCTAGTACGTGGAAGCAGATGGGGCAAAATTCACCCCACTGACATAATGCTGGTAACACATTACTGTTCAGAGAAAGGTATTTTGGACTCTGTAGTGTACTGCTCCAACAGCAGCTCTTGACCCAGGGCTTGGCCGCAATTCGTTCTTCTCAGGTCTCTGGAGCCTTTCTGAAAGCTGGTGCAGAGCACCGATGTGGTTCCTCTGTAAAAAGAAACCTCAGTTGCTAACTGCTGTAGCAAAGTTGCTTTGTTCCATTGTAAACTTACTGCACCAATGAACCCATAAGTTCAAGGAGTTTTTATGCTGGTTTATGCTATTGAGAGCCTATTCTGGGTAGGATGGACTGGGTAAACAAGAAGCTGAGAAGTAAAAAAACAAAACAAAAAACAAATAGGATGGAAGTGGAACAGAGAGAACAGAGTGGAAAACAAATACAGAAGGACTGTGGAAAAAAATAAGAATAAAGATGCACAGAAGGAAGATTTCTCATAAAAAATTAATAGGGTACATATACTTTATATAGAACACCATTCACACTAAGACTCTTTTGGAGTGCAGTTTGGTCTTTTATATACACCATTGGCTTATCTTGAGCTGTAAGGACACTTGAGAGTAGAGGGTCGAGTGAAAGAGGTTTGACTGGTGGGAGGACTGATTGCAAACCTCTGCTTGTTGAATGCCAACACTGTTTTTTTATTCAAGTTTGATTATCCTTATTCCACTGAAAAGGAGCCAACTTAGCTGAAAATCATCAAACACCATGGTCTGGAAGTAAAGGAAGAAACCTGATCAGTGCAATGATGGAGGAACTCAGTTTGGGATTTCAAAATCAGGGGGCTGCAAGCTTCTTTGAGCTATCTAAAGAGCAGGGGATTTAAAAAAAAAAAAAAAAAAAAAAAGGAAGAAAAGAAAAAGAAAATATAGCCACAGTGACAAAAAAATAAAGAGAGTAAAAGTAAGTTGTAAGAAAGAAAGAGGCTGAATAAGCATTGAATCTGGGAAAAAAAAAAAAACAAAAAACAGAGGGCTTGGAGACTTTGGTCCTTGAGTTCTCTTCCTTGTGGTTGCCGGGAGCCATACCTTCCAATCCTTTTAAAACATACAACATACATTAGGATTTGGGATTTGTGCTCAGATGCAGTTTTCAGGCTTGCCAGGATAAATTTTGTCCCTTGAAAAGGAGGCAAAATGTGGGAACTGCTGAGGCTCAGTATAGAGTAACCCGAAAAGAGAGAAATGCGATGACTGAAGGGTGTCTGACAGCAGACGATTTGTCTGTTGGGACAGGTTGGGTCCAACGAACCCACAGACTTTACCAACCACAGTTCTGTTCTCTTTGTGTGTGTTTGTTATGGAACAAAATCGTGTGTGCATACTCAGATATTGCCCCAGAAAAGACGTTTGTGCAATTCTTTTGTGTTGTCAAAACACTGGGCAGGAGCATTGCTGAAGCTGCTGGGGACTTTTCAGAAGACAAGGTTTCTTTTGAGAAGGGCAGCTTGGATGCTGGCTGCGTTTCACAGTCTTCATTTACATGTGCTGAGGCTGCGCAGCTTCCAAGCTATAAGCCCATTGCAACTGCCCCCCTCTCTTTTCTTCTGCTAGATGCAGTGTGCTCCAAAATAACACAGAGACACGTTATAACATGCAAAAAAGGTCTTAGGAAGTAAATTTATAATATGGCTCAAGTTGGACGGTTTGGTTAAAAATAAACGAATTCCTCCCAAGCAATGAGAACTCATGTTTAAACCTTGTGAGCTTTTGTGATTTGAATCGTGCCTGGCATCCCTTCCAGGTGGCATTGGAACTGCCAGCAAAGTTCAGGCCGTGGCTGTAGGACGGCTCTGGAAGACATGGTGTTACTGCGCAGTGCCCGCCCTGCACCCACAGAGCTCCCCATCCCCAACATGGTGCACTGAGAGCAGTGCTGAGGTTACTGTGTTTATATTTATCAGTTAACTTGCTAATTTGAAGGGAAAGCAGTGAAGTGGAAATGTATAAAATAGAAACAACATGAGCAGGTCAAAATATCCAAAACAGCAATATAAAATGTTCCGGTGTAAATACATTTCTATAAAAGGTGTGAATGAAACTTCAAAAAAAAAAAAAAAAAGAAGATGATGGATTCGGCACAGTCAATGAACACAATTATAAGTAGGTATTGAAGGAGAATATTCCACCGACCATGGATCCACAGATAATAATTAATAAGAACTGAGTGCACTTGAGGCAGGCAGGTGCCCGCGTTATTTCACAGCTGGCTGTTCAGAGGGTAGAGGTACTCACCTTTGCCCCAGATCTTAATAATTTTCTGCAGTTTTATCATTAAATCAGCATATAATTGGGAAGGAAATTAGGTTTTTTCGTCGCGAGAGCAAAGCAATGCCGTTAATTTAATCACTCGTAGGAAAGGCTTTCTGTTGTCGTTCAGTATTTTGCTGTGGCTTTTTTTAATTAAGTAAAGTAAAAACAATGCCATTTTTGTCATCTGTGCTTGGTGAAAATATGACAGTGTGATGTGATTTGCAACTTAAGCACAAGCAGGGAAAACCGTACGTTTTATCAGAACTGGCAATAATGAATTACAAGGGAACACAAATAAGCCGAGAATATATCTGAGACTTACAACAATTTCTGAAGTTTTTAATATCTTCTGGAAAAAGGCTATTTCAAGAGCTGTGCTGCTTTTTATTTATTTTTTCTCTCAGCAAAATCACCATAGCCTGCTATAATAATTGAATTCATTTAGCCTTTAGAATGCTCAAGTTTGCAAATAACAATGAAAATGAATATTTCATGACAAGGCGGATGATCAATTATAGTTTGGTGACTTTGACTGGTAGCCCAGCATGACGGATCCAGCACTTACATTTGTACAAGACTTTTGAACCCAGCTAATTAAAAAAAATACAACTTCAGAAAGCACAGAGGCAGGTGGGACCGGTCAGACAAGGCCTTCGTGTGTTTTTTTTCCTGTTGTGGGAAACGTTTTGCAGTTACGTTTGGTACCTTGGCTTTGTTATGTGTCAGCGGTAGTGCCACCATAAACCAGTTGCACCTGCAGCAGCCTCTGTTGTCTCCACGGGTGAGCTGCGAAGGGCTTAAACCCAGAACCTCTGCTGTTAATGGCGTGCCTGCACGTCTGGGTTTTCACATGACAAGAGCTTTTCTTTTTTTTTTTTTCCCTCTCCTTGCAATGAGAAAAGGCTTGGCCCAGGCCACAGTGGAGCGCTTGTAGGGAGATGCAGACAGGAACCCATGCGCTCCTGGGCAGGATGGGGCAGTTGCATGCAGGAGCACTGGCTTCCTGCACTGAGACACTGAAACGATTAAAGAGCAGCAGAGGAATGCCTCACGTAACTGGGTGTGGGATCAGGCTCCTTCGCTGTCGCAGGTGAGGTGACTGCAGGAATGGCTTTTATGGATACTTCCTCCATTCCTGGCAAGTAGAATTTTATTTATTTTTCTTTTCCCCAACACATTTGTTGGTGGCAAAACTGACTCTGCTCGCAGTTATCAATGAGAAATTAACTTTCTGAGGTGTAAAATCCCTGAGTGAATAAAATGTCAGAGTGCGTTGTAACTTTGGCCGAACTCCGGGGTGGCCTCTCCCGGCTGAGCCGTGCTGCGGCCGCGTGAGTCTGGAGGCTGCTTGGTGCACACGTGCTGCAGCCCGGCTCCTGTCACCTCACTTCTTCTTTAGCATTAATGCAGCTCTGTCCGATGTTTGTTTTGGCCAAAAAAAAAAAAAAAAAAGAAAGAAAGAAAAAAAAGAGGAAAAAAAAAAAGAAGCAGCATTGAGAAAAGCCAGGCTGTGAGGGATGGGAGCTGTTGCATGGCAGGCAGTGCCCGATTTCGGGGGTGTGGCGTGGCAATGTGATTTTAATCACAGCGTGGTGCTGCTGGAGACTCAAAGGTCTGAGTGGCTTTTAAAAAGATTTACTTCGCTCAGCCTGGGTCTGCCTCTGAGCGACGTCACGGCTGGAGCGGCGGCACAAGAAGGCTGGATGAGTGACAGCCCAGCCTACTTTTTAATAGCTTTGTCATGTGACGGGGACCAGTAGTAAGACAGGTGCCTTCAGTTCACTCTCAGAAAGGGTCTCGTTGCTGCATGCGTGTGTGCTCCCTGCCCGGCTCTGGATTGCGCCTCGCGAGCGGCACCGCTGCGGTTCGGGAGCTGGATGGCGTGGGACATGTGCAACCAGGACTCTGTATGGAGTGACATCGAGGTGAGCAGGGTGCGGGAGAGGGGCTGCGGGCGCACTTTGCAAACAAGTCTGGATCTTATCTGAACTCCACTAAGTTTGCTATTTTAAGGTTACTCTGCGATGCCTTGAGCAAATCAAAGCTTAGCTCCTGTCATCGGTATCTCCTGCAGTTGGAAACTATTTTCATGTGCCTCTGGCTCGCTTTCCCCGTCATATGCAATATTTATGCTCTAAGATATTGATATGAATCAGTGTCTGAAGTCTTTCCAGTGGCATTCAGTGGCCTGGTTGGAAAAATGCCATGTTTGTTTAGAATAAGATCAACGTTTCTTTTTTCCACAAAAAGGAAAAAAAAAAAAAAAAAAAAAAGATGTAGTAGTTAAAATTAACCAGTGGCTTCCTATTTTCCTTGCTTGTTTCACTCTGCTCTGTTGAAGGTTTCCACATTGTTTATCAGCTGCAGGATTCAAACCCCCACACGGGAACGAACACCCCGGTGTTTTGCTTTAGATGCTTTTAAAAGGGATTTCTGGAAGTAGCTGTTTTCCTGCTTCTCGTGGTGTTGGAATAATCACCCTGTAGCTGTGCCCTGTAGGGCAGGGCACTCAGTCCACACAAGCAGTCGAGCAAATGGTTAAATCCCACTGTACGGCAGAGACAACAGGATGAACCGTGAGAATAGAGTTTATGCAGGACTGTGTGAACTGCTGCTGCCGCTGCTGCCGCTGCCGCTTGTGTAAAAATAGACGGCAATACATCAAACCCACAGCTTCTGCTGGCTACAATTCATACAGGGAAAAAGAGAAAAGCAAAAAGCAAGCAGCTCTCTGGTAATCTCTGAAGGATGAAGTGAGGTGTGAGGATTTCTGCATGGCTGTGTTGGGCAGAACGGAGCCTTACCTGGAAGTTTGGGCAACTTGGGAAGCGAGGCAAACTTTGTGTGGACCCCGTTGAGAGGAAGGCAAAACCCAGAGCTGCTGGAGGAGCCGACCCGCCGCTGCGAGTGGATAAGTGCTGGTAATGCTCCCCCTGGGCAACAGGGGAGGGAGAAACAGGTTCCATGCGGTGCCTTTTAAATAAGATGTCCATGCCAGGCAGATACCCATCTGAAGTAAAAATGTGACAGCGTTCTCCTTGTGTGTTTTTCCTATCTGGCAGAGCGTGCATGCGGGTCCTTAAGTCTTTTTGTCGTGTTTTACATATTTGCAGCTTGCCATTGTATCCACTGATTTCTGTTTGCATATTGTAATTGCTCTTATCTTGTTTTGATTTCTTGGTGAAGTGGAATAGATATGGATAATTCATATGTCCTGTAGCTATTATGAGTCTGGGCTGTAAGTGGATGACTTTCTGGCTCCAGAGTCCTAATTGTTTCTGAGTAGCTGGAGTATCCTGTGGGTTGTTGTCTGGCTTGTAGCGTGGGTCTCAGCTGCCGGAGCTTCATTTTTCCATCATGTATTATTCCTAATGCTGCAAGGAGATGATTGGGGAACCAGCTTACATGGAAATATTGAAGATTTATTTTAATCACTAGAGTTCCTGCAGTAATTTTAAGCTAGTAACAGAACAGATAATTTATGTCAATGACTTCTTCATAGTGCGGAGGGAAAAAAAAAAAAAGAAAAGAAAAGAAAAGATTTGATCTTAATATTAATCATGTAGTGCTGGGTTAACTGTTGGTAGGATTTTAGCAACGTGCTCCTGCACGGCACTTCCTGGAGCAGCAGAGCACTGCTGCCTGCTGTGCTGGCTCTGGGGATCACCTTTACCGGTCTCACAGATTGCAGGCAGCAGGTACCGGAGGCTGCCTTCATTTTTTGAATCATTAATGTTTGCTGTCAACTTAAAATGTATTAGATTCTCACTCCCATAATGACAGGACGGCGCGCTGCTTAATAAAGGCCTGCATCGCCGTAGCTGATCGGCGTCCCCAGTGTTCCACAGTTTAATGAAGGTGATGTACAGTAAGGTTGCAAGGATTGATAGAGAGAGCCCACATGACACGCATTGTAGCAACTCAGTCTTCCTTTGCTGGGTTCACCCTCTCGGCTCTTTGAAAAACTTGTTAAAAATAAAACAGAGATTATTTTTTCATTAATATAATTAATATGGCACAAGTCCAGTCTTTTTTTTTTCCTTTCTTTTTTTTTTTCTTTTTCTTTCTTCTTTTTTTTATTTACCTTCAAAGGCAGCAAAAAAAAAAAAAAAAAAGTCCAAAAGGTTAATGGGGAATTATACTTAATTATAATGATTCATTATAATCAGTGCAGTTAAGCTAATGTATTGTTTGCGTCTGAACTAAGAGGGAAAAAAGTCGGCTGAAGTGAAATAACGCACAGTAATTAGCCTTTTGTGTTTAGTGACTGCTTTATCCTCCTAAATGTTGCTCTGAAATTAAGGCTGTGGTTACGGAATACCTCTAGTATCCAGTAACGGTGGGAATACAGTAGGTTGCGTTCTGGCGATGCAGGTGCACCTGTTACAGATGTATAGCAAACAGTAAATATCAGCATGTCAGATAAGGACAGTTTTAGGACTTGGAGCGTTAAATCTGGCATCATCCAAAGGCCAAATATAAATTAATAACAGGAACACTTGCTGCTAATGTGTCTCAGATTAGAAACATAATGTCATATTCAGAAACATTGATTTTATTATCATGTCAACATTGGCAAGAGCATATATACTTCATTTCAGCAATTGCATTTTTTAAGTGACATTGCAGTCATTATAGGCAAATGAAAGCTGTGATGAGCAGAATTTTTTTTAATACAGTTGTTTATGTTGCTTGAAAAGCCCATGGTAGGAACTTAAAAATACATGTAACTGAGAAATAACATGTTTAAGTGGGTAGTTCACAGAGTGAAGCTATTTTTACGAATGAAAGCATAAACAGATCAGCAGGATACTTTACAAGTCTGCGGCATCAGATACAAACTACTGCCCTCCACAACACAAACGTGAGTGATGCTGAGAATCTACCTGTTCAGTCAAAAACTAGATTATCTTTTAATGAAATTGGAGATTTTGGCCAAGTGTCAGAAAGGTCCTATCTACGTTATAAGCTTGCTCCTGGAAGATGATGTCTAGCACTAAAGAAGAGGGAACTCCTTTTTAATTTGTTTTCTTCTGTGTCCAAAATAATAATAATAAGGTGTGCATTGAAAATGACATGAGATTTTGACTTCTTGAAGTTCTGCAGCCCCTTAAATAGCAGAAATAGAAGCAAGTGTTATTTCTGAGCCTTGTTTTTCAGCCTCCTTGTTCTTCACCCCTTGGCCTGCTGTGTGGTTATCGCTCAGCGTCCTGCTACACATAGAAGTTGGTTGCTGAATTACAGCCTGCACAGCTGCACTGGCTCTGTGTGCCAGCACAGGAGCCCTGCTCGTGGCCACGCTGCTGCCAGCCGCCGAGCCTCCCGGAGGCCAAACCCTCAATGAGATGCTCCTTCAGAAGCTCCCGTTCGTGTGCTGTGAAAGGCAGTCCTTTGGAGAGGGACATAACGAATACTGAACAATTCCCAGCGATGGACATGATGTTATTGCGCTCAGACTGCTCTCTTCAGAAGGTGGTATTTTCTGGGTTGACTTCAATCCAAAGTTGGGAAATCGTTCAAAGCACCCAGGCAGCTGATAGCAGCAGAGGACAGCCTGCCGGCTGGGTGTGCTCAAGATCTCCCTTAGCACCCAGTGAGTGGCCCCCAGAGCAAGGAAGATGTGGAGCTGTTGGAGTGGGTCCAGAGGACACATGAAGATGATCAAAGGGCTGGAGCAGCTCTCCTATGAAGAGAAGTTGGGGGAGTTGGGCTTGTTCAACCTGAAGAAGAGAAAGCTCTGGGGAGACATCATTGCGGCCCCCTGTTGCTTAAAGAAAACTTTCATACAGGAGGGAGACTGACTTTTTACATGTTCTGGTAGTGACAGGACAAGGGGGAACAGATTTAAACTAAAAGAGGGGAGATTTAGGTTAGGTATTGGAAAGAGATTTTTTATTCAGAATATTTTTATTCAGGCTGCCCAGAGATGTGGATGCCCCATCTCTGGAGGTGTTCAAGGCCAGGCTGGATGGACCCTGGGCAGGCTGGGCGGGTGGCAACTGTGCCCACGGCAGGGCGCTGGAACTGGATGTTTGTTAAAGTCCCTTCCAAGCCAAACCGTTCCATGGTTCTGTGATTTTGTGAAGTGCTTGTTGTGGAAGCATTTAGGCTCAGCTGACCTTACAGCTTTTAACCAGTCAGTGTCTGTCAGCTGTAAATGGTGGCGGGGTGTTTTGTGGGATCTCCATGTCAATGTGGAAGTCTGGAAGTGGGTTCTAAAGGTACATGGTACAGTGCAGGAGGCATTGCTTTATTGAACGGCATTGACATATGGGGCTCCACTGTTTGCCAAGCTGTTCCTACATGTTTTCCATAATTAAGGATTGGGTTTGATGGATACTCTAACATTTCAATTGCTATGCTAAAGTGGGTGTGCGATATTAATTTTTTTCTTGCTTAGTAGGTCAGTCAATACTCTATCTAGCTTCATACTGGCATACAAAAGGATACTTATTCCAAGTTTATTTGTATTTATCACTGCACTGTTCACAAGTCATGGAGGCAAAAACATGTTGCTCTACTGAAGAGATTTTTGTTCCCTACAGAAAGCAAAGTGTTCCACAGGTCTTCTCCATTGGCGTTGCTTAGTCAGCAGCAGACTGCTGTGGGGCTGCTGGAGGAAAATAAAAAAAAACAACAAAACCCTCCAGTCCTTCAACACAGCCACATCGGGGAGGGACAGCTAGGGGCTGGATGGGAGGCCCTGTACTGGGGCAACGACTTGACTGCCCCTGTCACCTAGAGGTGAGTGCAGGGATGTTCAGAACATACCCCACCAGCCAGGCCCCTGCTTTGTAACTGGGTAGCTGAGCTCTGCCCATCGTTCAGACGCTGAGGAAATGACATAACAGCATCCCTACCCCATGCTTTGTTCTGCCTATGTGGCAACCACCATCATATCTCACCTCGAGGACTGTGGTAAGAATCTGGAAGAGCAAAAGTGCGAGCATCTCCAGCTTGAGCTAGCTCCAGGGCTGAAGGCTGTTAACAGGCTGTGCCTCCGTAACCTGAATGCATCAGGAAATGCAGGAAAGACCTTGCCCAGAGGTATTCATCTGTAACTTCTACCTTCACTGGTTCGCTCTGAAGCAGCAGCAGAATAAGGTCGCACTTTGGCTTCTGCTGTTGGATTTTATAAACCTTTGGATGCTATTGTTGTCAAAGGCTACAGGAAAAAGGAAATTCACTGTTCCTGTACAGAGACATGATAGAGAAGGCAGCTTATGCCTTCCTATTATGGATTATGCCCTCCTATTTCCCCCTCCTCTTTGCATAACTGTCCAGTGCTAAAAAAGATCTAATAGTGTGGTTTTTTAATTCCAGAAAACAATTCTAGTGACCCTGTGCTATAGCTTAATCGAGGCTTAATTCTTATCACATGATATTAAAGTTAATAGATTCCTGGCAATTAATGAAACTGTTTCTACATTGCTGTTTCCTGCAGTGTGCTGCTCTGGTTGGTGAAGACCAGCCTCTCTGCCCAGACCTCCCAGAACTTGACCTCTCCGAATTAGACGTGAACGACCTGGATGCAGACAGCTTCTTGGGGGGGCTCAAGTGGTACAGCGACCAGTCTGAGGTCATCTCCAGCCAGTACAGCAATGAGCCTGCCAACATCTTTGAGGTAAGGGAAGGCGATTCCAGTGAATCCATGTTTTTTTTTTTTTTCTTTTTTTTTCTTTAGCCTGGTGGGCAGTGGTTTTACTATCTTTCCCTCATTAAGAAACAGCAAACGTGGTGATGTGCGTTACAGGTTCCGCCTGGTGCCTTTAATCCTCATGATCAAAAGCAGGCCTGTGATCTGGAGAGGGGGGGAAAACAACCTTGAAAAGAATTAAATGGAAGTTTTGATTTTTGAAAGGAAATGGATGAAGAGTGCCTAAAGTACACAGCACTGTGGCGTAACAAGGAGGAGTTGCACAATTGTCAGTGGTGAGGAAAAACAAAAGTTGAAACCTGTTTGCTGTTTTCCTCTTGCACTCCCTGGAAAGGAGCAGAGTGCAGGCAGCTGTTGGCTGGTGGAGAGCTGGGGGCCAGTGCCTCTTTCCTGTGGTGGGCACTGGCACAGGCTGCTCAGAGAAGCTGTGGATGCCCCATCCACAGAAAGCCAGGTTTGGTGGACCCTGGGCAGCTTAGTCTGGTGGGTGGCAGCCCTGCTCATGGTAGTGAGGTTGGAGCCAGGTGATCTTTAAGATCCTTTCCAACCCAAGCTATACTATGATTCTGTGATTCCTGAAGGTCTTCACTGCATCAAAAATTCCCACTTGTAGCATTGCAGTGCAAGACATTTTTCATACAAATGAAAACCTCTTAGGTTGAGTGTGGGAAAGGAAATGGGTAGATATGGCAGACAAAGCAGTGAGGGCTGATACTTGCTGATGGTGTGGGATGTCTGAAGGACAGACTTAAATGTTTTCTTTAAAGTATTGCGTTGGGGTTCAGGGTGTGCAGGAGGAGGTTGCAGTCTCATTATCTCTGTCTCCAATCTTCTTTCTTTCATTGTGTCAAACCTTCATGATTCGCCACCCCATAGTAATGGGGCTGCCGGTCCTCCCAGACCCTTTAGCCACCTTCTCTCTATGATGATAGAAAATGTAGTAGATCGTCCACAGGCTGGGAAATTGGGCAATAAATTGATTAGCTGGCAGAAAGACCTTATGCAGCAGTAAGCGGCTGGGGCTGCCTTTCCCGTGGCTGACCCAGGAAGTCCAGCCAGCCCCACTTGCTGGGGGAAGCCCCAGATGATCACTCTGCAGCTTAATAGCTGGAAAAGATTAACTGCCACAGTGTAGTAAAATGCTTCTGAACGTAAAATATAGCTTGCCTAGGATGTCCTGAATGAGATTCTTCTTTTTTGTATACAGTTATAAACTGATGGTGACCTCCCTGGTGCTGATAAGGTTACTTCGGATTTATACTTATCAGTGTAGCTGATGATAGGAGGTGGCCACCTGTATTCAGTCTTCTACAGTTCACAACAAAATAGTTTGTAAATAATTTTATTCAAATCAAAATGCTTTAACCCTCTCTCTTCATTAGTTTTTATAATGGTCCACATCACAGTTTATGAAACTTCAAAAAGATGCCGTGTTCTTGAATTTCAGTTGCACCCCCACATGAATTTCAGCTTGACGCATGTCAGTTTTTGGTGGTCAGTAGCAGGCTGACAGCAGGACGGGCAACACGCAGCTGAGATCAGAATTAGCACTGCACGGAGTGGGTTTGCTTTTGTTGTAACTGAGGATATGTATTTTTCCTCATTCATCAAAAGCCAAATGCAGAGGCATTTTTCTTTTGGAAGAATCAGGGAAAGATAGGCTGTCAAAATTTGAGTTCCTGATAAGTAATATAATAAAGCATCCATCGTCTTGAAGCATACAGACTGTTCCAGTAGAAACGCTGGAACTTGACCACAGGCTTCTAGCTGGTCGTGTGCTGCACTGCACTGTCTGCAATGGTGGCCAGCACCACCACATACAAAATTGTCTTGTTTACATAGTGACGATTCATCTGTGTTACTTGGATAGTAATTATCTCTTCCTACCTGAGACAGTTCCAGTTCTGAAAATCAAAGCATGTTGTAGACAGTGAGACGAGCATCCAGGCTGGTACCTAACCTTACTGGGATGTGATGGCAAGGAGGTACTGGTCTTCTCAGGAACCTCGCTGGTCTGGGTGCATCTTGAAGATGAGCAGCCTAAATGTGAAGAAGTAGGTGGCATGCAGCTGGAGGGGATGCATCTAGACAGCAACTGGTATGTCAGAAATAATGATTTGGAAATGAAATATGTAACTTTTTTCCTAACTGGTGAATTCTGTTGTCCTTTCCATAAGTTCCTGGCTTTCCTTGCACCCACAAACTTCGGTTATAGGATGCCTCACTGTCTCTGACAGCACAGCTTGGCCCATGCTTACCTTACTGTAAGGACAAATTGTTCTCTAATAGCATTTTGCAGTACTGCAGTGCTAGGGTGAGAGTTTTCAGTTTTGTGGTGTTGTATTGCTATTTCTTTGTTGCTTGGCCCAGAAAAATGGGAATGAAACAGTTATTTTCTCCTCCCATGCATTAACCCTGTCCCCATTCTGCATTGTGCAGCTGGATACATAGCACTATTTCTTCTCTCTGCTGCTCTGTAATGTGACGACTGGGGGTGCTCAAGAACAGAACAAGATGTGTTCTTTCTCCAGAGGTTATCTCAGATGCTCTGCAAGGAACTATTTGTTTTAAATCAGAGAACTAAAGTTTTATATAGTTTCCCATTTGGTAATCTCTGGATTTTTCCATATTGATCCACACTGGCTTTTCTTTCTAAAGAAAATATCATAAATAACTTAAAAAAAAAAAAAAAAAAACCAACAAAACTCTTGTATCATTGTGGGAGTAATAAGTTTTATTTAACTTAAGCTTCCAGATGAGGCCTAGTCATTTGAAAATAGAAATGCAATTTCTTTGGACTGGAAGGGAAAGAAGTAGAATGGTGAATTATGTCGGGAAGCACAAGTACAGTGTTAATTGAACAAGCCGTGCAGTGTTAATTGCAAAACCTAACCTTGAATGAAGCACACTCTTCTTTAAGTTATGAATGTAGTACACTTTTGTCGGGGTGGAGGCCTATGTTCAAAAATCACTGTCTCAAGCTGGTACACTTTTTTTTCTTTTTTTGTAAATATTTTAAGAAATACTATATTTTAGTATTTTGAATTTTCAGGTGTTCTGCAACTCATGGTCCCAGAAACTTGCTTGAACTGAGCACCCACAAACCTAGATAACTCCACTAGCACTCAAGTCTCATGGAAGAGAAATTATTAATAGTTATGGTAGCAACTAGGAGCCAAACGAGATAAAGCTCTAATTAGTCTAGATAGCATGTAACTGTTGAGTATAAGTCCCTGCCCCCATCTGCCTAGGTGTGGTGAGATATTGGCCTTCAGTCCAGCACTGAAGCACACTGAAGTATCTTGCAGAAGTGGCTTGCTCATTGCTGCCTTATTCTGCTCACATGACAGTGCACAGAATCCTGAACCCAACCTGTCCTGTTTGCCCCAACACACTGCTTCTTCTTCTTACCTGAGTCTGTATGTATGCATATTATCAATTAGTTGATTTCTTTCTGTTCACAGCTTTGTAACTTCAGTGTTACAGTTTTTCACCTAGTTTTGTTTGACTCTTGTTCTGAGTACTAGAAGTACATAATGAAGGCGTTCATTCTGTAGCCATTCTGAGGCCACTCTATAGTGTCACAAGTTTGTGGAACTATATGATTAACAAGTCACCCAAGATCAGTTATGTAGATGTTTCACTGTTTCATTCATCTTCTTTATTTGTTTTTGCAAAGAACCAGTCCTTAAAAAATTGTGTTTGTGACAAATCAATTCAGCTTATGTTAGAAAATCAAAATGGTTAGGTTTCCTTTCTTCAAGTCGGTGCTGTGTGAGCTGTAGAACTTGATGTGACGTGAATGGGAAGAGTTTGTCCCCTGAGGTTTCTTCAAATATACCATATTCTATCAGAGAAGGTTAGTCATATTTAAAATTATTTATGACCCATGCCTTAACATTTTGGAAAGGTAAGGTATCTGCAGTGGGTATATCTCTTTGTTGGCATTACTTACAAATAGCTCAATTGAGGTAAAGAGAAAAAATGCAACCTATAGATAGAAAATAGCCTATTAAACTATAATGAACCTGTGCAAAATATCTGTAACTGTGCTATTCTCATATTTGAAAAGACACACTTTTAGCCTTTCAAAAGACTTCAGAAAACCAGAGTTGCTGGCCTGCCTGTGGATTTGTTGCTTACATAATTCTGTGCTCCAGAGAAATGCTCAACATATTTGATGACTTTATTGTTACTTGTTTTGCATAGGTGTAGCCCAGGTTACTTTTCAGGGCCATGCTATATGCGCCATGTTTTTTGAAAGCCTGAATTGGCTACTGTATTTTATTCTAGGCTGCCAAAAATGCTGCTTTATAAGCAGTGAGAATATGAGGAGAGAAAGATTCATACTCTCATAGTCCCAGCAGCAGGAAAATTCATAGGGATTAATGATTTCTTATGTGGAAGGGTTTGCATCAGGAGGATGAGGATTGTGGAGGGGAGCCCTAAACGTCACCAGGGTAATTGCATGGTTCGTGTTGTAGAGTCTCTTACATTCTGTGATGCTGCCAGTCTCTTCTACTATTTCAGGTTATTCATTCAAGGTTTGCAGCCAGATTGATTAATGAATTACCAGATCTTGCGTAAAATGACTTGGCCTGACTTTTAAACAACGACCAATGTTTTCTTTGCCAGTCTTGTGACTGGTGTTAATGGGTTTCCAGAGAACTGAGCCTGTATAGATTTTCTGTACTGGCCTCTCCTAGCATTCTTTCCACTTTTTAATTTTCTCCAGAACTAGTAGCCCAGGGCAGGCAGTTCAAGGAGATATAATCTCTGGGGACAAAAAGACATAGTAGTCAAACCCTTGATGGCTGATGCCCTTCAATGCCAAATCAGCATGATTTATCATAGCCATCTATTCAGCACAACAAAGTCTGGAGGTGAGCTGCATGGTGTACCTCACACAATATGCATAACTAGAGCTCTGAACTTTGAAGGAAAGCCTCAGAGCTATTTGCAAAGTG